TAGTACTATTGATCCTAAGCCGAGAACTAAATTTTTACTAGTCCAGTATTCACAATCTTCTCTTTATGTACAAAAGAGCCACCAACCAACCTCTACTGTATTTATATTTGAACTAGAGTGCTTTATATTTACACATACTACACCTCAGTACACCACAAAATAGAAAATAACGATCACAGTGACTGTGAATAGGGGAGACTGTGAGTAATTGAATAGTAATAAATTAGGAATAGTAAGTCATATAACCTTAGTTAATACGTTAACCGAAAGCTTATGATAAATGGAATTTATACATAAATAGTAATGTATTTGCTCACTAATGATACAGCATAAATACAAAGGATAATAATAATAATACATTCAATCTATGCATTCTTTTTCCATAGCTTGAGACCAATAATCGAACATACAAACTCGGTGCTATCAATCAAGAAAGTGCTATGCAATGGGTTGAACGTATACAAAAAACTATTCAATAAAAGAAAACTTTTCTAATTATGATTTAAATTGTAGGTAATGCAAATTGTTTCATATAAGCGAAACATGCTTATCAATGGATATATATACAATCGTATAATTATCATCAGTAATATTGCTACTGTTATGGGAAAAAAATTCTCTTATCTTAACTGTTTTTGGTTGTTATTTGTTTCTTGACGAAACTGTACAGATCCTATAATGGTTATTCATGTTCTACAATTTGACTTGAATCCTTACTTCTTACACTGTGATCAAACAAAAAGAAGTACACAATGAACAAGATTTGTATACTTTATATTCAACCATATTTATACACTGATATACTATACATTCTTAATTATCTTCTACCCCCAGACATGTCCAACTATTTAGGCTTCTATTCTTTAATATTTTACAAAATAAAAATGGTGCGCCCGATACCTTTTACAGAAATCTAATCAAACTACTACCACCACACACACACACATTTCCTGCTATTACCACTTCTCATTCTTCTTCTTCTATACAAACCATTTAATTTTGTTCTCATATAATTTTACAATAACTCATGCATTTTTGTTGTTATGGCTTATTTATCATTTAAACTTTTTATTCAATTTGAAGCAAAGAATGAAGATTTCCTTTTTGCTCATATAAATCTTTGTATAATATATGCAATCAATATTTATACATATATATATGTATGTCACTTTGTTCTATCTACTGTTCTACTCATGAGTAGTACAGCATCAATATTGTCATCATTATTCATAATCTTATGTAATTAATTATCATGTATTTATTTTGCAAACACTCATTGTTCATGTGTACCGTATTGTGTTGATGTGATATTTGTTGTTAATGTTTATTCATCATTGTAAAATGTGTTCTTTTCTTCTTCTTCTTCAATAATAAACTTGATCGATCACTACTCACCATGACCAATTCATGCTTATTGTTAACACCAATGTTTCCCCTGTTTTGTCTCCGTTGATAAACCTGGATTTCTGAGTATAATAATGATCGTTATTATTATTATTATTCAATTACTATTCAGATGCATCGAATTTCAGTGAATTTTATTGTACAGTTTTTATTCAATATTTCACATATGATGATGATGATAATGATTAATAATCTAGTAAATATACATGTGATTTAGGGTTTTTTCTCTTTTATTCTTTGTGTTACTACTCTCATAGAAGTAAGTAGTAGTGTGATGTTTCACTAGATTCGCTTTTCTTTCCAATCTCTTTACGGAAGTGACTAATTATTACGTCATTAAATAAAATACAGTTCAGAGAGAAAGAACTCTCTTTTGAACGATGTTATTTATTATCAAATTCGTACAAATTATTGTTTTATAGTTATTTTCCACATATTGAATTCTAGAATAAAAATAGAAAAATTGTTGTAACATGTAAAAAGATAATGAAAGTTTTTTTTTAATGTTAAACATCTTTACGTAATATCCAACGGATGATGTAAGGATGTAAATCACATATAGAATAGATGGAAAAGATCGGAAACAATTTGCAAAATAAGGTGGGTATCAGGATCGGAATAAAATAAGGGATTAAACTCTTCTGAATCTGAAGACTAGGCTTAAAGTGAGGCAGTGGGAAGAGAAGCTCCCGCTATACACAATTTTCTTTGTGTGATTTCGTGAATATAACAATAGAGCTTATTGGATCGGTATTGAAAAACGTATCAGTATATTCGGACGCGAATCTTCCCAGTTTTTTGATAACTTTAGATCCCATTGATCAATTCAACAAGTCAATTCAAGTTTCATCTGAAATATGAGGTAATAAATTAGGTGTGATCCAAAAGTCTTAGGGACTGGTTCATTAACAATTGTATGTCACTATTGGGTAGTGGAGATTGTTGAGCTTTATTAAGATCATGAGCTAATCAATGTTAAGCCAACATCGAAAATCTGAAGCAATGACCGGCCGTTTCGTCCCGGTACTGGAGTCGCATCTACTATCCTGCACGCGGGACTCAAATCCAGAGACTTCAGTATCGCGATCATTGAGCCAGTACAAGTCACACCCAAGTAATGTGGTAAAATGTTTAACATTTGGATTAATCGGTTTTCAGTCATTACTTGACATCGTCAATTATTAACATTCTTTAAACCTCATCTATAAGGCTCGCTAGGAAACTCAGACCAAAAAATTCATGGGTTAGTACTATATGACGGAGAATTACTGAAGCTCTTCTAGTCCAAGTTAAACTAGATATCATTGTATTTCTGTCCAACTCAATTCAGACTACCTAGGTTTACAGCTAATCCAATGCAGCCTGTATATGCAGCATAGTGTTAACTCAGTGCTACTGATATTTTGTATTGTTTGCAAATAATTCATAATTGTGTTACGTGCTTTTCCGTAGCTGGTATAGCAGGTGTGCCATCATGGTCTGTTGTGGGAAATCGGAATCTCACCTCATAAAGAAATCCGCCGATCACTGAGTTTTTATTAGTACGTATACACTCTAGGAGGTGAATAGAAAGGTCATTATTAACCGCTGACTAGTAATACGTCTGACTTCGCTTCATTATCTTGTATATTAGACACTCAAGTGTTCATCTAACAACAACTGAGGCTACGAATATCACAGCTTTTACACAGACCATGAAAATACGGAGTCGAGAATCTGATTAATCACTCTCATTTACATCCTTCTACTACCATGTTATCAACAAGCTCACTCTGTATAATCCTGTTTGTGCCCTGCTTTGCACACATAAGCGCTTTGCTATCTACAGTATGTCTTACAACTACTGGAATAAAAGGACGAACATTACCCCATCTTCGATCCCGGCAACTATTTAGCGGCAATGACCTTCATAAAAAATATGTGGCTTAAAGACAAGAATATAAACCTATACATTATAAGTGAAAGGCGTGAGTTTAATTTAGACCTCACTCAGAAACTCGTGTTTGTTACAAATACGGACCTGCCTATAAAGTCCGATATCGCTGGTTACTTCCAAAAGCTCTCAGCCGATTTGATATAGTAATACCTTTCTGAAAAGGAAAATGGTGCTGAAACTAATGAAGATAAACTGTAGCATCAGTACTAATACTGCACTAAGAGTTGAGGGGTTGACACAACATAGATCGCGACCTATTTGTGACCTGGTGCACTTTCTTTACAACTCAAGCCTGAACTCAAATAGGTCTTGTCAAAACCAGCAACCAATAACTCATCCACACAGGACTAATGGATATTTTGAAGCACATGGCAAACGTATCCAGAATATTGGTGACCAAAGGAGAAATCGATGTAAAGATGCTGATTACACCTAGCACTACAGATAAAGTTAAATTCAAGACTAGATTTAACCCCAATGAGGACAGATGGACATTAATTCCACTAACAACGCGCAATGAAAATGAACGTAAAATTGTTTCACGTTTAGCAAGACTTACGTTTGATTATCAACGGATCTCTGGAAGCTTCTTAGTTATTAGCAATGATCCAGCTTATTACAAGAGACTATGGAGTACAACAATACGTGTAATTCCGTTTAACAGAAAACCGGTGAATACTTCACATGAGATGATCAATGTACTGTAGATTGGAGGCACTAACTGCATATAGAAATTACTAGAATCCATTTCAGCTTATCCAACTCTGTAAGGTATCTAAGTATCTGGGTGGAATATTCCAAAAAGGAGCTAAGTTTACTGTCCCAACAACTTTATAGAAACCGTTTTGCACTCCGCATTTCAACTAACGAGTGAATCTCAAATACTTAGAGACACTCGACCTGAAGCAACAATCATTTCAGAGATGGGACATATTGGTCAAGAAATTCTGTGAATTCCTCATACATGAATGGAAAACAAAGTGCTTTGGAACTTCAGTATAAAGTTTTTACCATTCATATCTCCGAGAAACGTCAGAACAATTAGGTTACAAGTTTTGGCTGTTGCCAAACTATACATATTAGGTGGAACGCATAGAAGGAGCAAGTTAAGCCTCGTTCAGATCATGCATCTATCACACTTTTACCATTAGCTAGGTGCCTGAACATCGTAACATGTTTCGTACATCAACAACCTTATATATCCCGAAATTAATAAGGCTCTTGTTAAACAAGAGTGAGGTTCACGACTATCTTGAGTTACATTCCTAGAATCTTAAAAGTTATTTAAAAAACATAAACCAGAATGTAGAAATCCAATAACCCACCTAAAGTGTTTAAAGACAACCAGGACTACCGTTCGAATTTTCACATAAGGTTGGAATAAAAACGAATAGAGATCCTACTGTAGTGTTGTTATGCTGTTCATAAAGAGTGAAATAAATTTTTGAGAAGAATTAATTCTATATTGGTTGCATTCTTCGTCAAGTTAAACATAGCAGTACTAGCATTTTTGTCTACATCTCACGCTTTCCTTGTAAATTCACAAAATCGATGTCTCACACTAGGATAGGCATTCCTACACGTCCTCATTTATACTGACAATTTTGAGTGAAATAAATAATTTTAGGTAACGACCAGGAAATCAAAACCATACTGTGTTCAGTTGCTTCTCTTTTTATTGCCAATTAATATAAAGTACTTAATACAATATAAAATATCATGTTTTAAAAAAACAAAAAAGTTAGTTTGATTGCAGCTCAAGTATACATTTGGTCTGTCTTTGCACGTTCACTATTGCAAACTGCAGTAATACACATTTCCTTGAGTTTTTCACTTAATAAATTATTGTCCCACTGATTGTTGGATGAAAACTGCTTTTGCATAATTTCAATACCAACTGGTAATAGACTGTTGAATATCTCTTTTACTGCAGACCATTCACAGACACTAACGTGTGGTAAATAAAATACAATATATAAATTGACTGGTAATGACTTGAAATAAAACCAATTCAGCGCTTCAGCTGGTAAACCTGTCAAAATTGTCGGTTCTTCCAGCTTTGGAAATGGACTACTTAATCCAGAATAAGTTGGTATACATTTGATAAAAGGGGGAGGTGTCTTCAATTTAGAAGAATACTGAGTAACTGGACGACTACATAGTATATTAATATCTTTAATAGTAATTTTATCCTTATCGAAATTCTCATTATGACAAAAAACACGTTGAAAGTATCTACAAAGGATATACTTGTGTTGATAGCACAAATATTTAGGTTCATGTTCAATACAAATAATTAATGTGTTGTCATAATCTGGAAGATAGTAACTGTTGAATACTAGAGAAGTCTTCTTATATGATACTTTAATAATAGATAAACTTTTATGGGTTATGCCAGCGCCAATGATTACGAATGCACTTGTTAATGGTCCAATAGCTAGAATTACATGTGATATTGTTGTATAATCTCGAAATATCTGATAGGTGTTTAATTCTTCATCTTGCTCATTTGTGAATAGCAGCGAATTATCGGGAACATCGAGACCATTCTGGTCAACGATTGAGTCGTCGTCATCACTGTCAGAGTCGATATCACCTAATGCACGACTGAAGGCAGGGATCCGTTTAAGAAAGTATTCCATCTCTGAAAATAAAACAACGGGAATGGTTGACCAACTATTTAGGTATTTTTTTTCTTAATTTATATCACACTCACTAAGGAACATTACTTACACCGATTTGATAACGATCTACTCTTCAGTTCAGACCTTTCATATATATTATTCTTGACTGTGTCTGTATTCCTTATCATGTTATAAAAACTAATCATGTTAAGTACGCTAAGTGAAAAGTAAGCCAGACAACAATGTGGCCGGGATTGAATATTAGTTCGACTTGACAGTCACTTATAGTGGTATGATTCTGTTGCCCAGTTGATGAAAGTAGCAACTGCCAAGTCTGGGCCTCACATTTGTTGGGCGCGAGTGCCTGTTATGATTATAGAATGGTATAATTTAGTTTATTTACCATAAGTTGGATGGATATAATAAACTCAACTACGACTGCTAGAGATGCACTTAGTGCATAACATGAGATCGAGACGAGATTAAATGACTAGCAGTCATAATTAATATGACAGAAAACAAGAATACTTCTGAGGAGTAAGTGGTGAAATCAATAGAATCCCTCATAAAATCAAGTCTGTTGGGTACGTAATTATAGTAGGGTTCCATGACATTACACTGAATTCAATGCGTTAGACTGACGTTTCGTGGAATTCCAACAACCTTCAAGTTTCTAGATTAGTTTTAGAACTATAGTTTGGTTTGAAGCACCCAGAAAGATAGTTCTTTGGTGGGAATTATACCAGCAGTGGTCGACTTTGCACTGGGAAAATTCCCTCTTGATCCACTGCCGAACACCACGAGCAGAATATTAAGAAAATCCTCCCAGTTCATTATCTAGAATATGTTGTCTCACTACATCTACGTCAACTGTCTACATCATGAGTATTATGGACTAGTTCAGCTACCAAACCCCTCATCACAGACAAGTACGCCTGCTCACCATGTAGAAGCACAAGTTTATATTGTTGGGTATTAATTTAGTCAAATTTAAAACTTATTAGTGTGGTGAGAAAGTTTCCACAGACTTGAGGAAAACTTGTTGTTTTTGTGCCATTTCCCCAAAATTGTCTATTATGGCTTTCCCAAAGTTGCCGATAGATTGGGATACTGTGGCCATGTGCTAAACAATACATTCAGGCATAGAGACAGTATCACGAACTGCAGACGAAGTCCATTAAAGTTCGTAGCCGTGGAAACTATTCCTAATAGAAATCATAACCAACTACGACTAAACTAGAAGAAAATTCGATGGACATTTTATTGTAATAAAATAATCATCAGATAAAAAAATTAGGAGCTATACAAGCTTACATTATTAGAAGGATATTTCTAAGGTGTTTAGCAGCTCGATTCAAAATTATGATAGTAGTTCCAATCTATTAATTTAGCACGAATCTGGGACAAACTTAAGCTGAAGTTGAAGCAAGCACCCGTCACAATGCTTACATAGCCTTGACGGGACGTGGGCTTTCCAAAAATTGGTCTTAGTAAGCTTTGAATATTGAAAGTTGTGAATGGCTTCAGAGTTATAAGAAAGACATATAATTAATTGCTGCCATTCCTAGAATTAAGAACTCACATAAGAATTGAGTGTCAAGTGAAAAGTATTCATCCGTAGGATTTTTACCATTTGTTCGAGTATGATGATCCAGACAACTACTCAGAGAAAATAAAAGATTCCTACTATGTTTTCTGAAACCCCACATGATGATATAACAGATTATTGTGCACCTTTATACCGAAATAATTATTTAACATACAAAATGGCTATCACTTCGCGTACTGTGATATTGGAAAAAGTTGACTTTTTCGATTGTACCCCACCCTAAGATTTAAAAAGATTTATCACAGACTGTTTTCCGACTTTCTGGCGATTTTCGACTTCATCGACGTCCATGACAGACGATGAGTTAGTTGCTCTATGTTTTATGTCGGTTGACGTCTCTCTTATAGACAGTATTTTTAATGTGAAATATCTTCAAAGACCGTGAACACACGGTACAGTGAATAGCATCCGAAACCTGTGCAAGGAAATGAAATTTAGAGGTCGCAATTAGTCCTCTGTTTTTTATTCGTAAGATTTAGTGCTTGGTGTTCACTTAATAAAGTACTGATGCGGTGTATGTAGCGGTATATAAATCACCTGAATAAGTAGTCCTGTAAATCTTCAATGTTGATGCTGACCTCACTAGTTTTACTAGATACACTTGGCTGAAGGCGCTCGGTCACGCACCCACACCGGATCACCAGTGGGTACGCCGTTCTAAGCATCCCTTGCAGTTGTCAGCCAGCTTAGACTAGACGCTTTCGAATATATCAATAACCCTCCAAACATATCTTCGAACCCTTCTTTTCCTGACTTATGAATTGACTGGGTGGTATAATGAAATTATAAGGATGTTACGTGTAAAAGTGTTGTCAAACTCCGAACATCTGTGGCATCTTGATAGTGGGCCGGACGTGATTATTATTATTCGCAAACGGCTTGTGGGTACATAAGTGTTGTGGAGAAACCGTTTCGGGTTTCTTCAGAAGTGCAATAATATACAAGTTTCAATAATATAAGCATAATATTTGCCATATTTGAAGAAAATAGGTTACGTGTAATAAGGGACCATAAATCAAGAAAACGCAAAATAAGTAAATAGTTTAACAAACGTGTTTGTGAACACAGAAAGTATGGTTCTGCTACGCGGACGCTGATTGCCACGAGCATGAGGTGACAGACCAACGTGATTAATTCCTTGGAGACGTGGAGGCACTGTTGCACCATTTTAACAGGTAATCTCTGAGGTTATGCTCTGGTTCGTTATCCCAAAATTGTAGATTTTTCATTATCTGAAAACTTAATCCATAAAATCTTACGTGAAAGTCACAGCTTTGTCTGTTCTGATTCGTCGTACAATAAGATCAGCTACATAACGTCTAATATCTCTGATGAGTGCATTAAGGCTGGGTAGAGAGTAATATATTTAATACAAGCTTCAGTAGGTTTTTCATAGAGTACCCACGTCTGCATAGCCGGGCTATGCCATCTTGATAGAATCTTCTCTTATTCACCATTACCGACCTTCTCCAGGTGTTACATATTGAGTATCAATCTTTCGAGTGATTTTATGCTTTGCTTAGAGAGTCATTAGGTCAGGAACCGATACCGCTACACGTTACAGAAAGTATGTCTTCTGGTGATGCTTCTGAAACTCACAACGCTTTGAAGGAAGCCAACTTTTCCATAACTTTGAGCTTCGAAATGTCTCTTCAACAAAGCTGTTGCAGAGTATGTTGGAGGTCAGCTGTTCTTGTTTGAACTTCCCGAGAGCTTTGTCTTATTTCAAAATAACACCGTAGACAAACTGGTCATATCCGCCCACTAGATTTCGACGATCGCCACAACATCCTGTACCGAAGCATATTGCGTCAAAGAAAAGCATTAATAATAATAATAATTTATTCTCAAATAACAGTCACAGACCTCTGACACACCCTGATTCTATCTTATCATTCATCATAATCGTAAACGCTCCCAAACCCGAAGAAGCCCATCACGAAAAATATCCCTCTGTAGACCACAAGAAGCAGATACTGGTTCTGGCATCGCAATAAGTATGGAAAGTCATCCAAAACTTGTGGAAAATTCTTCGGTTTCCCAATCTCCAGACCGTCTTATACGAAAAACTCATCAGGAAACTTCCCATCTAAAACGCGTTAACAGCGACTGCATAGCCGTCATTTGTACACCTCTGATGTGACAATGAAAGTTTTCTGTCTTACCGATACTGGAGCAGAAGTTAACGTTCCTCCAGAAGCAGTCTCAAACTTACAGGCGGCAAACAGGGAACCGATTGCCACATATAGAAAGAGAAATGTTATCTTAACGCGAGTTTACGAAAAACCACCAACTTTGTCTTCTTTGTCGCAGATGTTTCTATGCCAGTCTTTAGTATAGACCCGTTACAACACCATAGTCTACTTATTGACACGCGCAAAAGATGGTTAGTAGACGGAAATAATAATTTGTCTGTTTGTGTAACATTCTTATTTGGTTGTAGGTTATCCGCGGTCAACGATCCATTCTATAAACGGACTTTGGACAAGCACCTTCAACTACGCCAAACACGGCCGAAAATTGCCGTCTGTATCCAGCAACGTTACACATCACATAAAAACCACTAGATCATATGTATTTTCCAAAGCGCGCCAACTAACTACCGAAAAGCTAAGGTTGTCTGATAATGAATCCTATCACGCGACAGTTTTAGGACTCGTTTGAACATCGGACAGCCGATGGGCATCTTGCATGCACACGGTCCATAAAATGTACAGAAATGACGGGAGTGCGACATGTGACTACCGGTGACTGAATACGAAAAACACTCCAGGTCGTTGCCTGTTGCCATATATTCACGGGTTGACAGCCTTCTTAAAAGAGCACAACTGTCACTTGAGATTAGATGGTGGTTGGAGGTAGTCGACAGGAAACCCTGGACCCGGGTTTCCTGCTACTTGGCACCCGTCAGCAAGGTGTACCTGTAATCTTGAGAGAACTGGTGCATAAGAAATGCTGAACAAGCTTTGCAGAGATTCATCGACGACGTCTTTCGAGGTTTCAGCTTTGTACACCTGTATGTTGATGAATCTGTAGTGGCATTGGGCCCTAACACGAGACAGTATGGGAAATGGACATTCAACATTTAACACGGAGAACAGCCCAACGACTATGAAGGCGGGAAGAATGAGAGGAATTTATTAGAGTCGATCGTATGGCATAGCTCGGCCATGCAGGCGTGGTCTCTGCTGAATGTTACCTTATATCTTTTATTCATAATAAATATATTGTTCTTTCTCTAGCCTAACCTTGTTCTACATCATGTATTGGTACACGTCACGATACAGTGAGCTGCTGTAGACAATGATGTGGCTTCCACGTATGATCTCATAGATTAGGCAGTTATAACGTGACAAATCTACAATTTTAGGATAGGGTCTATTATTAGAGCAGTATTAATATTATAGTAGACCATAATTCTACATTAGTGAGCCCAACGTGATGCGAACACGCATCTTTTTGATTCTACAAATTTTCGATCACAAATACAACCCGTGAATCTCATCTTCAGCATCTGGACCTTATTTTTGGACAACTACAAAAACACGACATTACTTTAAACATTCAGAAATGTCAAACCGTAACTTACTCCCTTAATTTTTTCTAGTACGGCGATCTGCCCTCTGAAAAGTGAAGCGGCGGCCATTGTGGATTACTAAAAACCGACAACAGTCAAGCACTTACGTGCGTTCATCGGTCTGATAGAATTCTACAAACGGTTCATATTGAAATTCACGTCTCTCAAGAGACTCTTACCTAACCGACTTCGTAGAAATGTGAAACTCATCAATTCAGACAACAGTTGAAAAGAAGCATTCTTCACAGTCAAGGAAATTATCGTCAAAGCAAGTAGCCTCGTATCGCAGGACATTAAATCACCCATCAGCATAGCAGTAGACACATAGGACTCGGCGACTGGAAAAGTCTTGCAATAATGCTTAAGCAACAGCTGGAAACCTTTACCATTCTTCTTGCGATTGTTGCTAGACACTGAAACGAGGTAAAGCACTTTTAGCAAGGAACTCCTAGAGATGCACTGTGCTGTATGGCACCTTCATAACTTTATAAAGGGCCAGGAACTCACTTTGTTCTTCGATCACAGGCCTCTCACATCTCTAAGCTAGTCTTCAGGAAAGTACTACTCTCTAGAGGTAATAAACTATACTTTGTGGTACATCTACAGGTAGGGTTCGTCCAGTCGTGCCAAAACGTTATCGACGCAAAGTCTTCAATACTCTGCACAAGCTTCCTCATTCAGGCGTTCGTGTCACGATTAAGCTCATCACAGAGCTATTTATTTGGCCTGGTATGAATGAAGATGTGAAGGAGTGTGTATGCTTCTGTGTAAGCTGCCAGAAATCCAAGGTGGTTAGACACAAATGTCACTTTGGGTCTTTCAAAACCTCCGAATTTCGTTTTGACATGTTCAACAAGATTTGGTGTGATCCTTACCGGACTCAAATGGACACTGTTACGTCCTAGTCTGTTTGGTCTGCTTTACATGATGGCCAGAAGCAGTACTCGTCATGAAAATTACTGCTGAAGTGATGGCCCTTGCCTTCGTCAAACCATGTAAAGAAACCAAGGTTATTCCTCAACTATTACTACGGATGGTAGACTCCAGATCGAATCTGGACTTTTCTGTTGTTTTACCCCATTGCTACGATTTACAAAATTCCGAACGCCGCCTGCTGCCCACGGCTAAAGGGTTGAAGGGGCGATTTCGTTGATTATTGAAAAGTTCACTCTCAGCTGAAAATTTTTTACAGTGGGCTGACTCTCTTCCATTCGTATCACTTGGTATTCGTGATTCAGTGAAAACTGACATTGGATACTGTGCAGCACAACTCGTTTAAGGAAGGACATGGACTTTGAGGAAAATTTGTAAGTCATTCATC